AAATAAAGTGAATTTTTTTCATCACATATACAGAAAATATGCTACCAGCCAAAATCACATATCAAAATGAAAAGACCACTGCGTACTTTTGTGCTTTTTCTAAGATGCAGCCAGACTAGATTGGTGTGGGAATAACAAATTATCACATGCAATTCTCCTTGGATTGAGCTTTTATTGGTAATATCAGGAAAGCATAGGTAAAATACTCTTGCTCAGTCATCAGCATAAACAGTAATTCTTAACTATATCTAATTCTTATTGTCTGTGCAGATATGCTTTGCTTTAGTGATAAAGATCACCTTACTACTTATTACAGTATTAAATGCATGCTTTGCTGCAAAGTAGAGCCACACCACCTCCCCACAGACTATTATTGCTCAGAGAATATGCAGTTTATTCTCTTATTGCCATGCAACATTTGTAGAGCTGTTCAAACAGGACACCTGGGCCATGTTCTCCTTCCTGACAATAGGAAGCAAGTGAACACCTAAACTTTTGCTTTAGCAGACACAAGGGAAGTACGTCTGGTTAGCCTACAGCAAAGAGCTTTTTCCTTTGAAGATGAATTTCTAGGACTGATCAACTGAGAGATGGGGCAGTAGTTTTGTGGTGGTGGTGGTTGTTTTCCCTAAGGAGGAAGTCTCTTTATTTTCCTTCTGTGGCAGGCTCCTCATTTGCTCTCTTACATAAAACTCACTCACTCCTAGTAGTTCTCCTTCAAAATTTGGTTCTCATCTGAATTCCTTGAGACCCAGGTTTAGATATGACAGTGTTCCTCTGCATTTCATATTTTTCTACAGTCCTTACATATTGTTGGGTTATTATTATTATTTTTTTTGCCTTTCCCAACTAGTATGCTTAAAGAAATTAGAGTGTAGAAGATTTATTTGATGTGGTCCTTAAGAGCCTAGCACAATGCCTGAATATGGAAGCTAATCAATAAACATGCAACAAGTAGTGGATGAGATTTGCAGTGACTTCCCCAAGTTGAAGGCAGATTCTAGAACCTAATGCAGATGACCTGGGAAGCAGTCTCTAATTGCAAGCTTTGTGGTCTGTGTCCTTCTGCATTTATATGAAGCTTATGATTTGGGGTATTCACCTCTGGTTTATCTAGATAAGAGATCTTTAGTTAGGTGGGAAGCGGGCACTACAAAACACAATTCTCCACGGAACTTCAGCCATACCAAGGTTCTTTTTTTATTGATCTTT